CATCACACTCTGCATTCTGATCCACAAAATGTGGTTGCTTTCCTTTTGTTGCGGAGAAAATACTGTAAAGTATCGCCTGGCCATTAGCTTACCTATTGTATGGTGGCCCAGAGGGGACATTAACACATTAATGAATAACTGCTGGGGTGAAAATTTGCAGGATGACATTTATTAAAGGGCACACCTGATTACCAGGGGCATTTTTACTCCACATTTTTAATTTCAAGGCTACTTTATGAGATGGATAAGGCCCAAGACCTCCATAAATTTTACATGGTTTCAGTGGCATGTTGCCCCAAAGAAAATGCAGTGCAAAGTGAATTTCATCAGAGTGCTGGCAAATTCAATATTTTTTTAAATTAATTCTGCTTGATTTGAAGATATAAAATCGGCTAGGGTGAGTTCGCCATTAAGGGAAGAGCCGGCAGTTTTTCAGGTGCTTCTTTTTGCTGACATGTGCTCAATAAGTGAAATTAGCTGTTTGATTTGGATGAAAACCTGCTGACTTTCATCCCTTCATGGCATCACCTTCACGTCTGTCACCACAGACCTCAAATGCCTGGTGTCACTAAAATGTTTCCTGAGGGATTCCCCATTTCCTTTATGTAATAGATGCTACCGGTAATAAAATCTGAACTTGTGAAAACAGAGGCCAGTATTCATTTTAAGTTTGCTTATAGGGCCACGGCTTTGTAGCCAAGCTTTGATACATAAAGACAAAAACAAACAAATCATAAATCCTTAACATTTTTAATTGACTGGCTAACTGATCAATTGATTGACACCATGCAGTTGAATATACTGCATGGTGTGTGTGTAAGAAAAGACTCATAATATATATAGATTTAAAAGAAATGCCATATTTGGCAACATATTCATCATGAATAGAATTAAATACTAATAGTATAGTATTAGTAATAGTAGTAATAGTAAATACTAATATTTACTCTAAGCTTTAAACATGTGCAAATACTAATTCCGAGTGTCTTGTCTTGTTGTTGTCTTGTTAACACTAAGAAAACAATAAACTTGTTTATAAACGCTTTATTAAAAATGTAATTGAAAAATGAGACCCGGGATCTTGGCATGGGCTTTGTATGGTGGTTGGTAGAGATGCCATAGATTATAGCTTCAGGAAAGCCAATAAAAAGTCAAAGTTAGTGCGTAGCATTAGTTAACATAGTGCATGTATTAAACAAATGACATGTATATAATGTAATGTGTTAAAAAGTGTTGGAAGAAGGTTTGGAGCTGGTGCTATCATGGAAATATTTACAGAGCGTGTACTCAAATTTGGAAACTTCGTACAGAACCAAAGATTGTATATAGGCTAAGTTACACCCATACTTTTTCTATTACCCAGATAATATGATCAAAGGATGAACTTACATGATACAGATTTCACGTCTTAATTTATTGTGCACCAGTATCTTTCAGACAAGGACAAAACAGGCATTACACAGCTTTTCCTGGCTCGGATTTGGCCTTTGTGTTGTTATCTTATTTAACAGAATCAATTCCTTTAGCTGTAATTTGTATTATTTAAATGTGTTTCATGTGGAAATACTGTAACAGATATTTGTGCCTTTGAATGTTAAGTTAGCACATCAGTTGTCACAGATTGCTTGGAAATACTGGTGGAGAGGAAAAAAAAAAAAGGATACACTGCATTTAATGTGTATTTGTCAAATCCAGCCCCAGAACTGCTTAGTAGTTGTTGGAACTTGTTTGTTACAACTAACAAATATGTTTTCCTTATATTAATATATCTAAACCAGTTTGAACAAACTCACAGTTTAAGGTGTTTCAATTTTTTGTAGCTAAAACAGAACCAGAGCCATTGGTGTCCAGAAATAAGTGGATTGTCTCACACGTATCAGAGCACCACGGATGCACGGATGCAGTCAGGAAACACGGATGCAGTCAGGAAACACTGCATCGTCAGTTACTAAGCAACAGCCAGAACAGGATTGTGGAGCAACATTATAAAACTGCAAGGCCCAACTTCAACTTCACACTTTTCTGTGCAAGACAAAAAGGCTTTCCATGCTCTTAAAATGGATGTTATTTTCAATGTGCTGAAGAGCGTAGGTAGAATTACTACACCTTGTGTTACTTTCAAGACAGCGTGCGTTAAAATAAGTGTTAATGTGATAACATGTTGGCGCGGCATGATTTTTGTGTTTTTATGTGCTGTATTGAAACGAAATGCCAGAAGGGCTATCCTTAACAAACTCTCCAGCACGCAGGAAACACCTCAGCTGTTGTTTTTAAAACGTGTGTGTGTGTGTGTGTGTGTGTTTGTGTCTGACATGGAGAGAGCGTGAGTGAGTGTATGGACGAGTGATCCAGCAGTTTGCCTGGGTGGGCTCTTTGTTTTGATTTCTTCTCTTCTTCTCTCCGTTCCAATGCTTCCCCCCTCTCCTATGCAGCAAGGACAAGTTTGGAAGGTTTGCAAAATTTATCACCTTCCACTGATGAAACTCCTCCCCTTGTCACCCTTCCTCAACTCCTTCCTCTCCCTCCTCTCCCCCTGTTCCTCGTCCTCCTCCTGGCTACCTGTACTGATCTGTTGGTCCTCTCCTTTGTGCCTCACTCCTCTTCATGTTTGAATCTGTAGTGCTGAAAGTAAGGCTGGGCTCCATTCCCTGTCAATTTTACCAACCCACAATGTTAATTCATTGTGTTATTCATTTGCTTATGATAAAGCATTCAGACATCAACTACATTTTTTCCCCCATAAAATAAAGCCTTTTTATTTTAGTTCACATAGACAGTCTTTGAAGCAGTCCCCAAACTAGATTTTTGTCGCTGGAAAAATAGTTAACAGGTGTTTAAATCTTCACCTATGGTGTGTAAAAGTCCAGTATACATGATATAATAACAACATAGTCCTGTATTAAATTTTATAATACACACAGTGAAAACATTTCTTTAAAAAGGCTTAAAAATATACATTATGATGGGTTATGGATGCATTTCATATGCAATAATAGTTGTCTATATAATGTGTCAGTAATAGTAGCTATGTTTTTTTCTGTTTATTAATAGCAACAAATTGAGATTCATGCCAGTAGGTAGGCGTGCCTTCTTCTGTTTATGTGGTATAATTGTAGATGGCAACATCTTGAAAGTACCACCTAAAAAGGGTTAGGTGAAATATACTGTTTAGGACCAAAAAACCCTCTTCTATTATTTTTTTTCTTTCTTTCTAACTAAATGACTATTTAGATAATATAAAATAAAAATAAGATATATAAAAAACAATAAAATATAAATATAATAATTTTTAAATCTTTGAATGGTAAACAATTAGCTATTGCCATCTTTCACAGTTCATAAAGACTGCTTACCAGCAGAAGTGCCCTCTGGAGCCCCGTTTGTGCAGTGCACTTAGTATCAGTTTGATAGAAGGATCTCATGGCAACCACTGGTCGCTAAGGAAAAATTATTCCCCAACTGGTTGGCAATTGGTTGCTGGCGGTTGTAGAGATGCTGCACTAAAACATTCACTAACTACTGGTTGAGCGGTAGTGAAAATTGGAAAAAGTGCAATAGAAACTGGAATGGGGACCATTTACCTTCAAAGTAAAAGTTGCTTCTTTTGAAACATGTTGGTTAAAGCATTTACTTTGAAGGTGAATGTTCTCCAAGTTTTTTCAGACAAGTCTGCATCTTATATACAACCGCGACAGTCTGCCAGTAACCAGAGCAATCATAAGGAGGCTTTTTATGCAGCACCATCTTCACGATTGATTTCACTTGCCAACCAGTCAAGAAATACACCTGATGATTTCCCTAACAACCAGTAGTTGCTGCCGACTTAGTGGCCTCAATTATTTCTTTTAATCTGTGTGATTCTGGGTGAAAGCGTCATAAATTTGGTGACTTTTTTAGAAGTCTAATTAATAATTGCATCACCCCAACATTTGCTGTTTTCAAATTTGGACTAGACATTAATTTTACATTTTGATAAAGAACAAGCAAAATAAGGTTAACAAATGCAATAGTATTAGAAAAAAAGATTAACACTCATGCCAGCAGGCAGTAAACCAGTCATAGCAGGTTGGAGTAGCGCTTTAGTGGTTTCATATCACATGAGACCATCCATCCATTCTTTGGGGAACTTTCTGTTTCTTTTTTTCCCCAGCAGTTAATCCCTCCTTGTGAAAATGAAGGCGCTCACACTCACACTGAGAGCAATGACAGGCAAAAATGAAATCATCTCAGGGAGGAGGTAGTTTTCACAGATTCTGAAGGGTCACTCAGTAGGTGCCAAGCAGCGTTCAAATATTGCATCTAGTAATTAGCAACTGTAATTAGTCCTCAGATGTGTGCTTCCTTGGCCCGCTGCTAAGTATCCCATGGTCCCCTGCCATATGTCGGTCAGCGCGGGGACCCTTTGAGAAGCTCAGCTGTTTAATTGCTGCCCGGAGTGGAGAAACGATGGTGGAGGCGAGACTGAGGTCTGTTCTGGTATCCAGGCAACAGCTCCCTTACTCCTTCCTGACCACTACTGATTCTCAGCTTATTCCCATGCCCTGTCCCTTCATTCACTGCGCCCCTCCTTCCATCCATATCGCCATCAGCCCCCACCCCACCCCACCCAAACCCAGCCAACCAGCTTATTGCACTAGCCACCACCAGCACTAACAGACAGTCCCATGCCATATGAACTCTGTCAAATTTTAATTAGTATTCATGTCTTTGATCTGTGATGCTAAGATGTTAGTTATCCAATTATGGTCTGTTCTTCTGAAAATAAAATGGTCAATAATACCCAAAGAGTTATCCTTACTGAACCCAAATACGAAGAAATTAAAGAAAATTAAAGAAATCTCTTTAATATACTATTATACAATTTGAAAAATAATCAGAATTGGGGTTTTGCATGTTTTAGCCCATTAATTGCAACTCACTCGACTTGATATTAGTGGCAAACTATCAAGTAATAGGAGTTTGTATAAAATTTTTCAGTGTGTGTTTCCTCCCTATTTTAGAGCTTTTGAAGGGTTGTGGGAATGTTTTTTGTTTTTTTAATTAATATTTAACTTTAAAGAATCAGTAGAAATGCTATATAGAATCACATGTATGAGCTCTGAAGGTGAAAAGTCAAACCGGAAGCACATAATTAAATTAAGTACTTTTTTTTTTTTTATTGTGTGTTAAAAACTTAGCAGTACGTCGCTAACAGACTGGCTGAATATCCATATCAGGCAGCATTGGTCCTGTTGATTGATAAAGTGGCATTTAAACATACTGGGGACTGATGTTTGTCTGTTGTGTCAGATTACTTTTGTGTGCTAAACTTTCAAAAATTGTGACTTTAAAAA